CCTGTACCCCAAAACTCAAGAGATTCACCCCAAAACCTCACACAGACCCCCCCCGACTCACCCCCAAATCTACATGGATCCACCCCAAAGCATCCCTGTACCCCAAAACTGGACAGACTCACCCCAAAACCTCACACAGCCCCCAAACCTGTCACCCCGTGACAGGGCCACCCCACGGCAGTGTCACCCCACGGCGGGACCACCCCACAGCAGCGTCACCCCATGGCGGGACCACCCAAGGACGCTGCCACCCCACGGCAGCGTCACCTCCACCCCTGGACAGGAGGTTGTCACCCCACGGCCGGGCCAGCCCACGGCATTGTCACCCCCCTCCCCCCAAGGCGCTGCCACCCCACCAGGGTGTCCCCACTGCCCCCACCCTTCCAGACCACCTGATGTTACCCCTCCCCACGCTGGTGTCCCCACATGGGACCCATTGTCACCCACTGGGACACATCACTTGGGGGGGGGCGTGACACCCGCTCAAGGAAGTGTTCGAGTGTGTCCCTCGGGTGGTGACAGCCCCAGGTGTCACCTCAGTTACTTCTGGGTGCTGGGTGGCTTCCTACCAGGAACTGCTCCCAACCCTGGGTGGGGACATCGGGGGACACACAAACACCAGCACCCCATAGAGTGTCACCACCATGACCCCCCCGCTCCCAGCCACTGTGTCCACAAATGTCCCTTCCTCCGTGTCCCCCTCCATGGGTGGCAGCAGGGTGGGGGCATGGAGAGGCAGGCAGCTGCCTCCATCCTCTGCAGGGCTTCAGGCAGGGGCTATAGGGCGTTGGTTGGGTCCTTCAGTCCTCTATAGGGCGTTGGTTGGGTCCCCAGGTTGGGGTTGGTTGGGGCGGGGGACATACAGGGTTGGCCAGGTACCCCACTGCCATCTGATGTCCCCAGCCTGGTGCCACCTTCCCATCCTGTGCCCCACGGCCCTGCCCCACGTCCCCTTTCCCATCCCATCCCTGTCCCCGTCCTGCTCCCGTCCCCAGCCCCACTCCACAGCAGGGATGAGCCATGGCTGGGGCTGGTGGGGACAGGACAAGGTCTTGGAGATGTTGGGGACTGTGCCCAGAGGGGTCTCGTGGACCTTAGGGGAAGGTGTTGGGCACCCCGTGACACGACACATCCCGTGGGGCAATGTCTTTGCTGGGAAATGGGTGTTGGCACCCATCCCTTTGCTCTTGGCACCCGCAGCTCAGGTTTCATCCCTCCTACCTCTTACCTGTGGCCAAAGTCCCCGGCGATCCTCCCTGTCACATTTCTGCTCCACCCGCGGTTGGCGCGGTTGGCGGCGGATCAACCAGCCAAGCTCCCCCCCGCCGCCCACCCCCCAGCCCCCGGCTCCGAGGTCTGGAGAGATGAGAGGTCGTCTATGGGGTAGCCTGGCCATGGTCTGCATCTGCTTCCTGGTCATCACGAGAGGTGGGTGCTGTTGGTGCTGGGACCACCCATCCCACCACTGTCGCCTCATCACGGGGACACCCTGAGGGCTGCAAGCTTGGGCACCGGGTGGGACCAGGGGTCCTTAAAGCACCCCATGCTGCAGGTCTGGTTTTGGCATCAAACGAGAACGAGCCGGGGTCTTTGGAGGTCCATGGGGTTTTGGGACCCAGCTGGAGGTCTGGGGAGTCTTGGGGGCATCTTTGGAGAATGAAGGGCAGGTCTTTGGGGGATGTTGGTCTCTGGTGGATGTGGGTGTTTGGTGGTCAATGGGTTTTGGGGGATGTGGGTGTTTGTGGGGCCAGGGTGGGTGCTTGACATGTAGGATACGGGACTGGAGACTGTCAATGCCTTTCCTGGGAGGAGGGTGGCAACACAAATGTGGACTCAGAGGGCATATAGCCGTCAGAGCATGGGTCAAATCCAAAGGCCCTTCTGACACGCCAGTCTTCTGACCTACACTGCATAGATGATGCTGAAAACCATGAGACACGGGACAGCAGGCAAGCGGACAGGCAGAGTTCATCTTCGCCCAGGATGTCACATTGGACTCCGCAAGGCCAAGAGGTGAAGCACAGAAACACAG